ATGGGATCGAGCCCCACATCTGTCTCTGTGCTGATAGTGCTGAGCCTGCTTAGGAATCTCTCTTCCCCTCTCTCTGACCCTCCCCCTGCTCTCTTTCCCTCTCTCAAGATAAATAAATAAACTTAAAAAAAAGTTGGGTTCTTTTCCCTCTGAAGGGAAGCCCTGGAGTCAGGAAGCTGGGTCCACTATTGTCTCTAAATTGTCCCCAACTTCTGCCTAAGGCCAGAGACCTCTCAGGATCTGTTCCTTCCTTGTGCCACTAGAGGGCAGCATAAAATTGCAAATCCAGCCCTTTGCCTCTCTTTTGGGGAGGAAATGGAATGGTCTGAGGACAGGCAAAAGCGAATCGTAGGGCTGCTAATTGAGGTGCACCTTAGGGCAGGCCTGGAAACGAAAGTATGGTGTGGGTACAGGCCCCACATCATGCAGAAGTCCGTAGGACAGTTGGGTGCAGGCCAGGAAGGCCAACTTCCAGGAAGGCAGCACGAAAGGGTAAGAAGCCGCTCAGAGGGTTCCAGCTGGGCTTTGGACACACAAATCACTGGGCCTTGATTTCCTTGTGCTTGAATGAGGGGCTCGAACCAGCTAATCCTTGAGGTCCTTTTCTGGGAAACTGGGCTGTTCTGTGAAGTCGCAGACGAAGGGGAGACAGGAAGATGATAAACCTGAAGAAAAAGCAAAGTGACCAGTGCTTAGGGGAGGCCAGGAGAGGCCAGGCAGCCTGAAGGACAGGGGCAGGGCGTCCTTGTGCTCCAGGTGGGTTTTCAGAGAGGCAGGTGTTCTTCTTCAAACCCTGCAGCCACTCTGACACCCAGCACGAGAAGGTTCCTGCCTCTTCTTAGCTATGGGACCTTGGGGAGGGCCACTGAAGGCTTCAGGACCATTTCTTGACCTGTAAAAAGGGGACAAGTGCTATTATGATAGTTAGACAAGATTACAGGGCAGTCTTGCAGCAGTCAGGAGACACCTCATGTGTACCTAGAATTTTCTTCTTCCCATTGGAATGAAGGATGTGTGTGTTGGGGGGGGGTGTCTCAGAGCCTGAAAGGATGCTGTGTTGAGGTGTTTTTATTCCCATGCGTCCTTAAACTCATCCTTCAGAGACAGCAAGATGCACCACTTTGTCTTGCTCCCTCCTCCAGGGAATCCTCTTTTTCTCTTTGCTGGAGGGACACCCCTAAACTGGGACCCCAGCGGGTCACTGAGGGACAAGTGTCGGGAGGCATTGGCAGCGGAAGAAATGGTAGGCATTTGCAAATGTACTGGTGGGAAACAGGGTCGAGCCCCCATCTGACGGCTCAGAGCCCCCTCCCAGCTAGCCAGGGAGCCCAGGGCCACCTTCCTCCCCAAGACGAGAGCTGACCCTCCCCTGGCCCTTGTCCCAGCAGCCCCCGGCGGCGCCGCAGCTGCTGTCTCTTTAAGGGCCTCCCCCTCCCTCTTTCTCTGCTCCCCCCATCTCTGTCGCAGCCGCCGCTGCTGTGGCTCAGAGCTGCATGGGAGACGCGCTGCAGGTCCGGTTTCTTGGTGTCTGGTCGGTGCCATCATCCCCCACCCCTCCCCCGCCCTCCCCAAGCTGGTGACTCCCCCTCCCCCTCCCCCTCCCCTCCGAGGGGGCAGGGGGCTGGGCATGAACTCTCTATAATGCCCCGTGCAGCCTCCGGGGCCGGGCAGCGGGGACCGTGGCAGCAGCGAGAGGCGGGAGAGCCGTGCTGACCGCTGACCACCTGCCCGGCCACTCCTCTGTCTCCCTCCCTCCCACCTCCTTCCCTCCCTCCCTCTCCCTCCCTCTCAGGGCTGGCACCACAGTCCCACCCCGCCTTCTCGGGTCCTCCCAGCCTCTCCACGTAAGCCCCCCCTCCCCACCTGCCTCTTCTCTCCCTCCCCTCCCCCACCCGCATCCTCCTCCTCCGGTACCCTCTCCCTCTCTGTCCTCTGACCAAGTCCTCTCCTCCCGTCGCGCTTCCAGCCCTCTGGCCAGCTGCCTCCCGCTCCCTTTCCCGGATCCTCCCTCTCCCCAGCCTCTCCCCATTTCCCCAGTCTCATCTAACTCCCATTCTCCCTTCCTCTGGTCTGACTCGCCTGCCCCATCCCGTCCCCGCCCTGTCCCCTTTGTGCCCCTTTTTCTTTTTCTCTCTCCTTCCCTGGTTTGGTGTCCCTTCTCCACCTCGAACTCCCTTCAGCTCGGCCTCCCTGCCCCCTCACGGCCTCTCGCTTCCCTGCCTGAGGCCTGAGCCACCATGCTGACCCCAATGGTGGCTGGGGGGGTGGTGTTCCCTGGTCTCTTCCTCCTCTCCAAGAACACGCTCCAGCGGCTGCCCCAGCTGCGCTGGGAGGAGGCCGACGCGGTCATTGTCTCAGCCAGGTAAACTGCCTCCCTTCGTCTCAGCCCCTCTCCCCTCCTCAAGCATTATGGGGGTGGAAGGGATCCCATCCTTCCCTGGACCCTTGGCTGATGGGGGATTGGGGGTTCCTGAAGTGATTGGTGGGCTTTATCTGCAAGCTTCCTTCCTCCCTCACTGCCTTACTCGCCGTCCCAGGAGACCTCGTCCAAACCCAGCCATCTGGTCTACTAGTATCCAGACTGCTTTTCCTTCCTTTCCCCCATTCACCCTCCCAGCCTCCAAAACAGGGCCAGCGTGTGACTGAAACATTCCTCTAAGATATTAGGGAATAAGGCAAGGGGCAGAGAGCTGTGTATTTATTGTTCAGGGCATATGTTTGAGGGCACAAGGGACAGAGGAGTGAATGGTTCAACTCAGTACAACACCAGAATAAGGGCCAGAGTTGAGGAGGGGAGCATGGGGGCAGTCAAAGAGTGAGTGGGAAAGTGGCCAGGGGGAACTTGAGGTCACTGAGGGGCCAGGTGATGAGTGGCATGACTGGGTGGCTGAATGTTGCAAGAACAGGCCCAGGGCTCCCCCTTGCCATCCAGTGCTGTTCCTTTCCTGCCTCTCCCTGGGAAGAGACCTTGTTATCAGCACCGTCTCACCTCAAGATGACCTCCCTGGTCATGAGAAGAGGGCGACTCAGTGTCCACAACTGAGGGAAGGAAGATGGCAGTGAGGAGTTGGGTGGACTGAGGAGTAGCAGCTGGGCAAGTCCCCTAGCCTGAGGCTGGGGGAAGCCCTGGGCAAGCCAGCCTCAGGCAGAGATGGGCAGAGAGTGGCCCAAGAGGTGCCCGAGTCCAAAGCGCAGTAAGTGGACACTAAAGAGGAGAAACTGAGATCTGCGTCTCCTTTGTCTACCACGGCTCCCTCTTTCGCCCTAGGCTAGTGTCCTCTGTCCAAGCCGTCATGGCCTCCACAGCTGGCTACATCGTCTCCACCTCCTGCAAGCACATCATTGATGACCAGTAAGTGCCATGAGACCGCCTTTGCCCAAGTTTCCAGCAGCCTGTGTATGTGTGTGACTCCCGAGTACCCCAGGTCTTCTACGGGACTCATTCAATGGTCCCCGAGCCCTTCACTTGGGACTGAGCAAGTTAACTGCATTAGCTGCAACTCAACACCCAGGGATAAATTTATCCTTTTCCTGTCCTTAAAGGTCAGAACTAGGAGGAGAAGGAGTGGCGATCAGAAAGGATTGTCAAAGCAGCCCCTAGGCTTCCCGGCCTCTCATACCCTCATACTAGTAGGTCCTGTGTGTCCTTCCCTCCCGACTTCTTCCCACCCTTACATCCCTCAGACCCCTTTTCTAACCAGCACCCACATGGGGTGCCTTCCTCCTCATGCTGGGCTCACCCCTCACTTCCTCCCAGAACCCAGGTGTCCAGTCCCAGCGCTGGGTACAAGAGAGAGACAGAGGAGAGAGATGACAGAGACAAGGCCACTAATGGTTAGGCAGTGGGGGAGGGGGAGGAGAAGGGTGAAGAGGCCAAAATTTGGCACTGGTAGCTGCTGCAGTGCCCGGTGCTTGCCAAAAAAGCCCAGGCCTGAGGAGGAGGTGGGGCTGCCAGAGGAAGGAGAGGGGCCCTGTCCGTGGTGCTGACGGGCCGGCTCCAGGCGACCCACGGGCTGCTGCAGAATTGCCTGGGAGGGTGCTGAAGACCCCCCACACCTGACTTCTGGCCCTGACCCCCTTCTCTGGTGACTGTGGGGCCACAGGAACGTTGTCTGGATGACCCTGACCTGGCGTGCCCCTCTTTCTCTACAGATGAGTTCCCTTATCTGTGGGGTGAGGTACATCCCTTCCTGGAAGTGCTGCCATGAGGAGGAACTGAGCTGTGTGTCAAATGCCTAGAGCAATTCTGGCTGCCGCACAGTGGGTGCTTAACCCTTCCTTCACATCTTGGTGACTTGGGTTCCTCTTGCCCTCTTCGCTTCTTCCCCACCCCTGGGTCTAAAATGAGCCTGGATCCCCAGGCTTATCCTGCTCTTGCCTTCTCACACAGAGGTCACCTTTTGGCTCTTACATTTCCTTCCCCCAACTCAGGTCTGTTCTCGTCCCTCCCCCTTTAATCCTCAGGTGGGTGTCCAAGATCAGGGTTAATGCGGGGACAACAGCTGTTCCTACTTCTGAGCACCTAACTGCTGAGAGGGTGGGGATGGGCTTAACTCTTCAAGGTGCAGCGCCGGTCCTGGCCCTCCCTTCCCACAAGCCACTCAGCTCCTGGGGCCAGCTCTCCCAGCCACTCCCACTGTAACTTCTCTTGGGACAGTTTGGGCTGCCTGTCCTCCTCCAGGCCAATCTGGCCCAGGACTTGCATTCTGTTATCTGTTTTCATCTCGCCCCATCCTTCGCTGCGCTACCGCCCCCCCTCCCCCCCCCACCAGGCCTCATTCCCCTTCTCCCTTCAGCAGCTCCTCATATTTTGTCTCCACTCTCGTTCTGCATCACTTTGGCTGACTTTGCTTTCATCCCTCCGCCTTGCTGGGCGAGTTCCCAGGGCCCTACCTCCCTGATCTCCCACTCCCACCTCAGAGCTGCCACAGGGCTACAGGATTGAAGAGACAGTGTCCAACATGCTGAGTCAAGAAGAAAAATGCAATGTTGCACATTCATGCACTTTTCATTTTTGTTTACTCCCAAAGTACACAGAACTTTCTCTGCTCTTGGCTCCTTTCGCTCAGCGTTTTCGCCTTAATGCTTGGCTGTACCTGAAAAAACAAGAGGTTGGACCACATTCAGGCGGAACAACCAGCACTGAAAGCACCACTAAATCCCTAGCAAAGGCCCGTCTGTGACACCTGTCTCGAATCTTCTAGAGACAGTGGGGCTCTAGGCAAAGGCTGTGGAACCAGACTTCTCTCATGGTTATTCTTTGGCCAAGTTACCTAATCTCTCAGTTTCCTCGTCTGTGAGATGGGGGTGATAACCATACCTACTTTGTATAGTTTTTTGTGGGGAGGGAATAAGTTTATGTATGTGAAAGGTTTTAGCTATTAGGACAGCGCCTGCTTGTAATAAGCAGTCAATGGATGTCGGCCACTATGATCCCTCTCCACTGCTCTTGCCTCTTCTGCTGTTATTTGTCCTAACCTCAGCTGTCTCTCATATCTTGCCGGAACTTGCTTTCTCACTCTCACACTGCCCTATGGTCTGTGGCTGTCTTTGGGTATCTTTTCCCTTTTCTTGCCTACCATATTGCAGAAAGAGAGAGAGAAGAATGAATGAATGAATGAATGAATGAATGAATATGAAAAATGGGTGGGCTCTGAGATCAGACAGTCTGGGTTTGAATTCCAGCACTACTACCTACCAGCGGTGTGACGGTGTGACCTTGGGCCAGTTTCTTGCCCTCTACCCTTGGGTTCCGTCATGTAACTCGAGAGTCCACTCTCGCCTCAGGGTTGTTGTGAATATCACTTGAGATCTGACTCATGTGGCACATCCAGTGCTGACTGTGGCACCTGGTGGCTGCTCTGTCCCTCTCCTTTCCTCTTTGATCTCTCTCTCTCTCTCTCTCTCTCTGCCCAACAGACACTGGCTTTCCTCTGCCTACACGCAATTTGCAGTGCCCTACTTCATCTATGACATCTACGCCATGTTCCTCTGTCACTGGCACAAGCACCAGGTCAAGGGGCACGGAGGGGACGAAGGGGGGGCCAGAGCCCCAGGCAGCACCTGGGCCGTGGCACGCGGCTACCTGCACAAGGAGTTCCTCATGGTGCTCCACCACGCTGTCATGGTGCTCGTATGCTTCCCGCTGTCAGTGGTGAGTCGGGGTGTAGAAAGCCAGGGTCTCTTGTCCTGCTCATGCCAGCAGGAACCGGGGAAGCCCTGTGGCCGGGTCTCAATAGCAGGACAGGTTCGGGAGAGTCTCCACAGAGGGTTTCCTGAGCACCAGACCGGCCCGAAACAGAGTGAGGGTGTGGGGTCAGCCTGGCCTGGGCTGGACATGCCCAGCCGTGGTGCTTGGGACCTGTGGCTGCATGTCTCTGAGCCTCAGTTTCCTCATCTGTGATATAAGGGTGAGCGATCTCACCTGCAGGATGACGGTTGGAGGGATACAGTGAGTGATGCTCGCAGCTTTGCTGCTATACGCACGTGTTCAGACTTTCAGGGTCAAGCATCTCCGCAAGTGGCCAAGAGGAGACAGGGAGGGAGTCCAGGGTGAGGCCAAGCTATTTCCTTCCTCTCCTCGCAGGTGTGGCGTCAGGGCAAGGGAGATTTCTTTCTAGGCTGCTTGCTGATGGCTGAGGTCAGCACCCCCTTCGTCTGCCTTGGCAAGATCCTCATCCAGGTGAGAGGGTACCTGAGGGTGTAGCGGGCCCCACGGGAGGGCAAACCTGGGAGGGGCTACAGGCTGGGGTCGGGGGAGGCAGGGCTCTGGGGGGCTGAGTGGGGGCAGTGGGCCGAGGGTGGAGCCCCTCGCCCCGCTCACTCTGCCCCCTGCCCGCCCGCAGTACAAGCAGCAGCACACTCTGCTGCACAAGGTGAACGGGGCCCTGATGCTGATCAGCTTTCTCTGCTGCCGGGTACTGCTCTTCCCCTACCTGTACTGGGCCTACGGGCGGCACGCCGGCCTGCCGCTGCTCGCCGTGCCCCTCGCCATCCCGGCCCACGTCAACCTGGGCGCCGCGCTGCTGCTGGCCCCCCAGCTCTACTGGTTCTTCCTCATCTGCCGCGGGGCCTGCCGCCTCTTCAGGCCCCGGGGCTCCCCTCCGCCCTCCCCTTGTCAGACCCAGGACTGAGGGTGGGGCCGGGGGACCCTCCCCATCCCACCCCTTGGGGACGGGACTCTGGGGCCGCTGGGCAGGGGGTGGGAGCCAGGGGCCTCTTGCCCTGACAGCCCGGGGACTGACAGATCGACTCTGAAGGGGCCGAGGGGCGGGACATCTGCCCTCAGGGGCAGAGGGTCAGGGACCAGGTGAAAAGGAAGGCAGGGAGGGGGAACCTCTTCTCCCAGCAGTGCCTGAGCTGAGGGTAGCAAGCCCCTTCCTGCGCGGCCCCCCTTCTCCCGTCACCAACCCTGGGGCTCTGCGGGGAGCAAAGGACCAGAGGAAGGGGGCATCACTTCCTATCCACTGAGGGCTAGAGGGCCGTGGGGAGACTGACTCAAGGGGACCAGGACTCGGAGAATGTGGGGGAGGCCCTGCTATCAAGGCCATCCCAGCCCCCCTGCTGCAGACTCCTCTCGGTTCCCCACCATCTGGGAGGGAGGGGACACCCTAACTATCCCCCCCACCCCCACCCCAGGCCTCGCTTGGGGCTAGCTGCCTCCACTTCTCCTCCCTAGGGAAGGCCAGCCTAAGGAATCTTATTTATTTTATTTATTCACCCAAATTCATACTAGTTTGTAGGGATGGGTGGAGGGAGGTGGCTGCTACCCCCCAACCTTCCCAGTGCTGAGCAACCCCGGGGGCGGGCGAGGGGCACCCAGTCCCTTCCCCATTAGGCTGCACATCTTGCCCTCGGGCCCTGGCATGTCCCTGGTGCTACAGACCTCTCAAGGCTTCCTCCAGTCTGGGGTCAGGGGACCCTGGGAGGTGCTTTACAGACCGCTAATAAAGACGATCTGCGTGAACGCCACCAAGGCCCTCTTCACCCAGTTCTTTGGTGCTGGGAAGGGTGGGGGGGGGTCTGGGGACAGAAAGCACAGATGACCACAGGACGGGGCAGGACCCCTGGATGGCTACCGAGCAGTCAGGGAAGAAAAAAGCAGACTTGTATTCATCAGCGGGAAAGGAGGGCAGGTTTGGGCACTCAGGGCAGAGTGCAAGGCCCTTGTCCGGCTCCTTAGGCCCCTTTTTGGCAGCTCCTATGGGGTATGAGATCAGAAGTGGGAGGCCACGCCCTGCCTCCCTAGGCTTTGGGGTCCTTCAGCCTCTCCCAAGGAAAGCTGGGGTGGGGCGGGAGGCCGGTAGGGGCCGGGGGGGGGGGCTTACATGTGTGTGCAGAACTGGAAAAGGAGGAAGAGGAAGGCCACTACCAGAGCACCCACTAGGATGTGATAGAAGAACTCAGAGTTGTATCCTGTTAGACAAGAAGGGGGAGATGGGGACCCTGGACTCACCTCCAATTGGAGGGCCAAGGGCAGCTCTTCTCCAGACCCCAGCAAGGAAGGAGGCCGTCTCAAGCTGGTTCATACCTGAGTTAACAAAGATGACGGGTTTCTCTCCAATAAACCGGGCCACGGCCAGGAGCCTGGCTTGGTCTGAGTCCGGGTAATCAAAGAAGTCAGGTCTGTCCAGGAAGAGCACAGACTCTGCTCCCCGGGTCAAGGTGTTGGCCCTCTGTGGGCTGGGTGCTAGGGAGCAAAGTCTACCTCAAGAATCCAGCAGACCCATGCCCTCTACCCCAAGAAGCTGAAGCCAACCCAGGACCCTGTCAGGCCACACGGCCTTAGTGTGGCTATGGAGGGGCTTGATTTTGTTCCAGGAATCTCTCAAGGATCAACTGAGCTCTCCATGAGAAGGCCCATGCTGGATGGAGAGAAATGTGGAGGGCAAGAGGAAGGCCCAGCCTTGGCCACCCAGCTCCTCGGGCAGACTGGCCCTTTAACCCCCAAGACTTTCTCCTTCCCGCGGCTCCCGGGACAGCTTCCCACCTGTTTCTATGGCCCCCAGCCCCAGCAGCCACACCCACACCCAAGCCCACAGCCACAGCCTCATGACTCCTCTCCTCCTGTGACAGGGGTGGGGGCTCTGTGATGTCACAGCCTGGAGCCATTCTGATCAGGAACTCCGGGTTGAGGGAAGAAAGTACTGGAAGCTGGACGAAGAAGAGGTGCATTTGTGTGTGGCAGGCAGTTCTTCCTGGAGGGAGGGCAGGGATAAACATCTCCAGTTACCCCTGGATCCACCGCTTAACACAGACGACTTATTTACCCATCACAGCAAGCCTGCCTGCATTATACAGAAAAGGGACAAAGAGGAGCAAAGAAAGCAATGTAGGCAATGCACACTTCCCAGGGGTGTGCATCTTTCTCTCGGACGCTCCCCTTTGCCTTGTGTCACCAAATTCAAGGGCCTAGGGATCTCTTAGGGGTCCATTGAGGAAGACCCTGGGGTTGGCAGCCAAGAGAAATAACAGGCTTGTATCACTAGGTGGCAGCAGCGTCCACGTTTGTCTGTTTCCCTAAGGCCCGGCCCCAGCTCTTCCAAGCCCTCCTCCCACCTCTTCCCGCAGGTGCTGCAGGAAAAGGTACTGCAGGGGCGAGGGTTGTCAGAGGAACCCCCCCGCCTCCCCTCCCCCCGCCCATCTCGACGCGGGTCTCTTGGTCACCCACAGAGCCCTCGCAGGCTCCGCTCTCTGGGTGGGCTCCCCCAAGGGCCCTCCCATTTCCCATTTCCAGTCCCTGCTTTTCTCTATTTGTCACTTCCCAACAGCCACTTTCCGTCCTGCAGGCCCGTCTCAGCCTCTAAGAGTTAGCTCCCCTCGGATTGGCAGGTGGGCCTGTCTGTCACAGATGTGTCCCGCCCCACCCAAACCCAAGGACACTTCAGGGTCTCCTCAGTTCCGACTACACAATTGCCTGTTCAACAATCTCTGACGGTGGCAGTTCCAGGACTTACCCCCACACCAGGCATGGGTCTGTGGTGGGTTGGGACGTCCTCTGCCCTACGATGGAGGCACCCCCCTCCACTGGATCCCCACCCCTCATCTTTCTTGCCCTCAGGGTCTACCCATCTAGTCTCCTCCCCTTAGTCTTGGGAGGTCCTTGCCGTGCTCAACTTCTATTTCCTAAACCATAAAGCCCAGAGAGAAGAAAATGGGGGGGGGGGGGGGGGAGGCAGACTAACATCTATGGGACCTCCTGTGGGACTGTTTCCCTTTCACTTCTCTCCCCAAAGTCACAGGCATGGGAGGAGCAGGGGGATGGCTGGGGGGAGGAGTGGGGGGGTGGAGCAGGGTTCCCACCCCAGGCCTGTGTGCAACTGCTCCCCATCCTCTCCCTCGTTTAGCTGGGAGAAGGGGTCCAGAGCCTTTGGCCATTGGCGTGAATCTTACCGTTTTCTCAATTGCCCCAAAAGGATACAGCTGTCCTCTCTACCAGGAAAGGCCCTTTAGACACAGGCAGTGAATTATCCGTTCATTTATTCATCCAATCATTAGGTACATGTATTGAGCTCCTGCTATGTGCTGGGCTCCATGTATGGCTTCAATAGAAATCGCCAGGGGACGGTCTCTGACCTCAGGGATCACAGGGGCGAGAACTCAGAGTATAGACGGACAACCCCTCGGGGCTGTCTACACTCGCTGTCTCCGCTCCCTCACCTTTAATGTATTCTTCAACCCCTCCCAACCTGGTTTGGTCCCCACCACTCCACTGAGGCCACTTTTGCCAAGTCTACAAATGACCCTTTAACTTGCCAAATCTAAAGGTTACTTCCTCTGTCCATTCTGTCTGTCTCTCAGCAGGGTGCGCCTGTCCCTGCCTCACCAGTTTTCAGGGTTCCTCCTTCTCCAGCCAGCTCAGCCTTGGACCTTCTCCTTTCTGTCTATATTCTCTCTCCCTAGGTGATCTCATTCAGTCTCATGGCTTTAAATACCATCTATATGCTGGTGACTCACAAATGTATATTTCCAGCCTAGTCCTCTCCTCTGGGCTCCAGCCTCCTCTACCCAACTTCCTGCTTCGTGTCTCTGTACGTCCAAAACCATCTCGAACTCAATAGATCCCAAATGGAGTTCTTGGTTCTCCTATCACAAACTGGCTCCTGTTTTCCAACGCTGCGAACAGTCTCATTGTTCATCTAGATGCTCTGCTCCACACAAACACCCAGGAGTCAGGTCAACCCCTCCCTCCCTCCCCCCCCCCACCTCCTGACAAAGCCATCATCAGGACCTGTTGGCTCAATTTTCCAACATGAATCTCAAGTTCGCCCACTTCCCTCCCCCTCCGCTGCTGCCCACTGTCAACCCCATGCCTCCTCTGGTATTTCAACAGCCTGTAGACTGGTTGACTTCTCTCTGTTCACTCTTCCCTCAGGGAGAACAAACCAGAACACTCGGATCCACCACTTAAAACCCTCCAATGGCTTCCCGTGATGCCTAGTGAATTATGAACTTCTTACCCTGACCTGCAAGGCTCTTGCCCAGCCCTGTCCTCCTCCCCACCTCAGCTCTTGCCGCGACCTTCCTCCCTTGGCACATGCCACCCTTTGCACATGCCTGTGCCTATGACACGCTTGCCCTCGCACTTGAACCGGCCGACTTCTCCTATCTCCCGGGTCTCAGCTGAGAAAACACTTCCCCTGGGAAGGGAACTCCCACGGCCTTTTGACCATCTCCCGTCACCGCATCAATCTCACTGCACTGGAGGTGTCTCTTTGTCCGCCTCCCCTACAAGGCTGTGAAGCTAGAGATCATTGATCTTGGTCACAGTTGTCACCAGAGTATACAGTAGGTGTTCCATAAATATTTATCGGCTAAATGGATGGAAGAAAACCTTTCCACCTGTGAACATGCCGGGGCTCAGCACTGTCTGCCATTTCCCCTGCTATTGGCTTGAGCTCCAGCTTTATCCTGTGTTCCTCCAATAAGGCTTTGTGTAGCTGGGCTTCTGGGCCTGAGCTAAGCTGTGAAAAGGGGCCACAGTGGAGGAGGCAGGACCGCTGGCTTCTTTTCCAGCTTGCCCCTCCTCTCACGCAGACCCAGATCTGCCTCAGTCCAAACCTGCTGGCTCTGGTCCTCGACAGGGTCTCCGAGTCCTACTTCCCCTCTGATCCTGGACATCCCTGAAGGAAGCCTGATGGTTGCCTTTAAATACATATTATTTTAATGTATTCTTTTGAATAGGCAGGATATGTGCACGGTACAAAATTCAAAAGGTACAAAGGATGGAAAGTAAGTCTTTCCTATTCCTGTCCAAACCTCCCTCGCAGCAATCTCAGAGGTCAATGTAGTTACCACTTTCTTGGGCAGCCTTCCAGAGATAAGTTAGGCACACATAAACAAACATACATGAACTCTCTTCTCCTCATTCTGTACGTGCTGCCTTGCACCTTACTTTAAGTTAACCTGAGACCGCATGATGACTGTACAAGTACAAGCACAGGGGCCTCTTTCTTTGTCCTGGCTGCATACTATTTCATCGTATGAAATTGTGTCATCCTTGATTGAATGAATCCCCTGCCTGTGGACACTTAGGTTGCTTCCAATCTTTTGCTGTTGTAAACGCGCTGTGGTTAATAATCCTGAACTCCAACGGTTTTGCTCATGGGCCAGCATGAGGATAAATTCTAGGATTTATCTATAGGATAAAATTCTAGAAGCGGAATCTCTGGGTGGAAGAGTGTGTATTCGTCATCTTGGTATCCACCGTCAGAATGGCCTCCGCAGAAGGGGGTGCCCATTTACCCACAGCGTTGCACACGTTGTGTGTTAACAGATGCTTTGAGTTTTGTCATCTGGTAGGTGCTAAGTGCTATCTCAGTGTGGTTTGACTTTGCTTTTCTCTCATTAAAAAAAAAAATCATGCATTAAAAAAATACACATAACGGTCTTTCTTTCTTTCTTTCTTTCTTTCTTTCTTTCTTTCTTTCTTTTTTGAAGTAGACTCCATGCGCAGCATGGGGCTCAATCTCACGACCCCGAGATCAAGAGTTGGATGACCTACCAACTGAGCCAGCCAGGCACCCCAACAATATTTCCGTCTTAAGCATTTGCAGGCATACGGTTGAGTACTGTTGAGTATATTCACATGACTGTGCAGCCACATTTCTCTTACTTTAAAATCACAATACTTAGGGAGGCCAATTTAGTGCTAGGCCTGCTTGGGGTGGCCTCCATGGCATTCCCTGGTGGGGGGTGGGGGAGACAGAACTGTAAACAGGCATGACAAACCAGGGTGGTGAGAACTGAGTCTAAGATAGCACATTGGGAGCTAGGGGGTGTGGTGGGAATGCTCCAGAAAGGCTCCAAGGAAGAGGTGACCCAGGGTGACCCCTGAAGGAAGGGAAGGTCTTCCAGGCAGTGGAGGTCCTGTGAGCAAAGGTCGAGAGACCTCAGGGATCCAGGTGTGTTCTAGGAACTGCAAGAACATTCCTGCCAGCCAGCCAAAGGTCATGGAGGTGACAAGATGGGAGAAGCCAGGGTCTTGGGCTGGATGGCCTTGACGGCCACTGTGAGAACTCTGAGGACTCAGTCTTGGGCAGGGATGGCGGGGGTGGGGTTGGGGGATGGCGAGTTCAGGGCAAAGAAGAGCAAAGATCTCAGGCTGGAGTTTGACAGGCAGATGGCAGGGTTCAGGTGGGAAATGGCAGGCTGGTGTGGAGCTGAACTGCAAGGCTCAGGGGCATTCAGAGCGAAGCCGGACGGCCCTTCCCGCCTGATGGACAGAATCGGAGATGGCAGGGGGTGGGGTGAGGGAGGGTGGATCCCCAAGGGAGATGCCATCCCTGACAAGGGGACCCCGGCCTTCGGCCTTCAGAGGCTAGGGTGGGCCACAAGGAGAGACGCCTGAACGGCCACAGAGAAGATGCTCGGACCTGTTTCCTCCCTCAGACGGTGAGGCTCCCCAAGCCTGGCTCGGGGACCCCCAGATCCCAGGCCAGCGACCGCGGGCGGATCAGATCCCCTCCCCCTGCCCACCCCTGGGTCACTGCGGAACTGTAAGCCCCGCCCCTACGGGTCTGGGGATGGGGGGGGCCTGATTACCTACTCCCTCCCGGACACGCTCTCGGTGGGGGAG